TTCTCTTCCTGGCACTGGAACCCTGAACGGGGCACCAGGTGTGGGACAGGGACCCCTCAGTCCTCAGGGAGGACCTTTCCAGCCGAGGTGTCCTCCTGATTTTTATCCGCCACACGTGGGTGTGGGACCAGCCCATCTGCCTCCGCCCTCCTACCAGTCTGGATGTGGCTGCTGATTTAATTCCATAGTTGTAGGACTTCCATTCAGCTTGATTTCAGGCGGTTTTGAATGATGGTTGTTCTGTAGTTTAGTTGTAACTTTGATGTGCTTGTGGGAGGAGGCGATACCGCATTTACCTACACCGCCATCTTGACCGGAAGTCCTTTATCTGGTTTTAGAATTAGGATAATGCTGGCCTCGTAAGATGAGCTTGGGAGTGAATCTTCCCTCCTAAGTTTTCTGAAATGGTTTGAGGATAGGCGCTAGTTCTTTGAATGCTTGGTTAAATTCACCTGTTAAGGCATCTGGTCCCGAATTTTTGTTTGGGAGTTTTTTGATTACCTCTTCAATTTCATTAGTTCTAGTCTGCATTCCAATTCTCTGATTCTTCCTGATTCAGTTTTGGATGATTGTATGGTTCTTGTTCGTAATATTTTCTTATAATGCTTTGTATTATTTGTTGTCAGTTGCTACTTTTCCTTTTTCATTTCTGATTTTATTTATTTGGGTCCTCTCCTTTTTTTAATTATTTTTTTTTATTTTTATGAGTCTTGTTAAAGGTTTGTCAGTCTTGTTTTTTTTCCCCAAAGATCCAGCTCCTGTTTTCATTGATCTTTTGTATTGATATTTTAGACTCTATTTTTTTTTTTTTAATTTCTGGTCCGATCATTATTATTTTCTCCCTTTTTCTCACTTTGGGCTTTGTCATTCTTTTTCTAGTATGTTTAAGTGTAATGTTTGATTGCTTATTTGAAACGTCTTTGTTTCCTGAGGTAAACCTATAATGCTATGAACTTCCCTCATAGGACTCCTTTCTCTGTGTCCCATAGATTTTTGATTGTTGTGTTCTCATTCTCATTTGTTTCAAGATATGTTTTCATTTCTTCCCTCTTTATTAACCCATTCATTGTTTTTTAACATGTTATTTAGCCTCTATGTCTTTGTGTGTTTTTCAGTTTATTTCTTGTGATTGTTTTCTAGTTTCATACCATTATGGTCAGAGAAGATGCTTGATATAATCTCAATCTTCTTAAGTTTATTGAGACATGTTTTGTGTCCTAACATGTAGTCTAGACTAGAAAATATTCCATGTGCACTCAAAAAGAATGCATATTCTGCTGCTTTGGAGTGAAGTGCTCTAAAGATATCAATTATCTAGTGTGTTATTTGATGCCACAATTTACTTGTTGATTTTCTATCTGGTAGATCTATCCATTGTTGTCAATGGGGTGTAAAATTTCCTACTATGACTGTATTACTGTCAATCTCTCCCTCTATTTCCATATTTGCATATTTAAGTGTTCCTATGTTGGGTGCATACATGTTTACAAGGGTTATATCCTCTTGTTAGACTACTCCTTTTATCATTATATAATGCCCTTCTTTGTCTCTTATGATAATCTGTTTTTAAGTTTATTTTGTCAACTATAAGTTTTGCTACTCTATTTTTTTTCCCTTTCAATTTGCATGAAACATCTTTTCCATCCCTATACTTTCATTCTGTGTGTATCCTTCATTCTTGGGTGGCTCTCTTGTAAACAGCATATATATGGGTGTTATTTTCTTCCATTCAGCTACCCTGTCTTTTGATTACAGCATTTAAGTCATTTACATTTAAAGTGATCATCGATAGGTACACATTCGTTACCATTTAGTTCTTTTAACTATGTCCCTCTGCTTTTCTTCTCTTTCTCTTCCTCCTCCTTCTCCTCAAGCAGACACTTTAACATTTTTTTGTAATACTAGTTTGATGATAACAAACTCCTTTAGCTTTTTGTTGACTGGGAAGATCTTTATTTCTCCTTCAATTTAAAATGACAGCCTTGCTAGATAGAGCAGTCTTAGATGCAGGTCCTTGTTTTTCGTCATTTTAAATATTTCATGCCAATCCCTTTGGGCCTAAAATGTTTCTGTTGAGAAATCAGCTGTCATATGGGAGTTCCCTTGTAGGTAACTGTCTTTCTCTTTCAGCTTTTAAGATTCTCTTAGTCTTTAATCTTTACAATTTTAATTATAATGTGTCTTGGTGTGGGCCTCTTTTGGTCCTTCTTGTTTGGGACTCTCTGTGCTTCCTGGACTTCTGGGTCTTTTTCCTTCACCAGGTTGGGCAAGTTTTCTGTCATCATTTCTTCAAATAGGTTCTCGATTCTTTGCTCCCTGTCTTCCCTTTCTGGTACCCCTATGATACAGTTGTTGTTATACTTCATGTTTTCCCAAAGGTCCTTTAAACTATCCTCATTTTTTAAATCATTTTATCTTTTTGCTGCTCTGAATGGGTTTTTTTCTACTTTGTCTTCCAAATCATAGATTCAATCCTCTGCTTCATCCAACCTTCTGTTTATTCCTTCCAGTTGTTTCTCATTTCAGATATTGTATTCTTCACTTCTGATTTGTCCTTTTTTTATTGGTTCTATGTCCTTTTTCATGCTATTGAGCATCCTTATAACCATTACTTTGAACTCTACATGTGATAAATTGCTTGCCTCCATTTCATTTAGCTCTTTTTCTGGATATTTCTCTTATTCTTTAATTTTGGGCTGGCTTCTTTGTGTTTGTTTCTATGTATTAGATAGATCTGCTTTGATTCCCAGTCTTCATCGGATAGTCTTATGTAGTAAGTGTCCTATGGGTTCTGGTGGTACAGTCTTCTAGATCATCTGAGATGGGTTCTCTGGGAATGTCTCTTGTGTGGGTTATGTGGGCCTTCCCAGTGTAAGTGAGTCTTGACTGTTATTGGCCTGTTGTGCATGGGATAAACTCTCAGGCTGGCTGACTGTGAGGCTCAATCCCAGCCATGGCATGTGAGCTGCTATACAAGTGTTGACTACACAAAGCAGAATTTGCCTCAGCAGGGTTTTGTGCTTGCTGAGATCTCCCTTTGGATATATTGCTTGTGACACTTATTGGAACCTACTCTGTTGTTGTTTGAAGCTGGTCACTGGGTGTGTTGGTTCTGGGCCTCTTGAGAGGAATTCTTGTGCAGGTCAATGTCAGACATGGTCTGTGACTTGTCCTGGGAAACCTATTTGGAGCTACTAGTGATCCACAGTTTGTGGCTGCCTGTGCTGGGCCTGAGTGCATACTGGAAGGACCAAGCTATGTACCAAGGCTGGGTTTTACCAGCACCCAGTCTTGAGGCAGGTCAGCATAGTCCCAAGGCACACGGAGATCTGCCTCCACCTGCTTCTGCCTGCAGGCTGCCTATTGGACTAGTCTCAGAAAAAGCCTCTGGCTACTCATCAAGGTGTTAGCACCACAGGGTGGGGCAAGAGGAAGTCCAGAAGGTAGGGCTATTGCTTTCCCCCAGGTTGATGCTACATTGAGGGCAGTGCTTCATCCAAGAAAGATGGTGTCTGTGGTATGGGAGAATGACTCAGCACAAGAATCCTGGTGTCTGTCCCTTCAGCTCCCTCCCCAGAACCACAAACCGCAGACTCTCCTTATAGGACTATAGTCACTGTGAACAAAATTTTGTGCATTGGCCCTTTAAGAAGGTGGCTGTGTCTCTAGCCTTCTCTCCCTGGTGAACAGAAACCCCACTTTTCACAGCCAGATGTTATGTGGGCACCTCTTCTCAGCTCTGGTGCTCTGGGTTAGGGAGCCCATCTTGGAGTTTAGAGTTCACATTTTTCAGGGGAACCCCCAGCATCTGAGATATCCCTCCTGAACCTTAGCAGCCACCCACAGGAGTGGGGTCAGCCCTTTATGTGTCTCCGGCCTTCCCACCAGTCTCAATGTGGCTTCTTCTATAAATCCTTCATTATAAGGCTTCTTTTCATCTTGTCTTTGGTTGGTGTTTCAGGATAATTCTGCTACAGTTTATTTGTAACTCTAGTTTGATCCTGGAAGGAGGTGAGTGTAGCTTCTACCTAATCCATTGTCATCACGGATCCACCCAAAGTTCTGGAGTCCAAGATCAATGTGTTGGCAGGGTTGGCTTCCAGTCAGACCTCTCTCCTTGGTTTGTAGATGGACATCTTCTCCCTGTGTTTTCACATAACCCTCCCTCTGGCAGCCACTGTGGCACCCTCTCAGCTTTTCATACATATCTTATTAACAATATTTTATATGGATTACATGTTGAATGATATTTCTGGACATAGTAGATTAAAATATATTCTTAAAATTAATTCATGTTTTTAAAATATAGCTCCTATAAAATTGAAGATGAAATATATGGTTTGCTTTTTATTTCCACTGGTTAGCACTGCACTAAAGAATAAAGTCCAAACTCTCTATATGAAATACAAAGTTCTTCAGGGTCCAGACCAATTTTTTCTGCCACACAAGTGAACATAGTGCTCTGGACTGCAACATGCCAAAGCACTTGCATTTTCCCATTCTCTCTCACACCCCCTGCCTCTGCATGGTATCCTCCTAGTCCCACCCACTTGCTCTGCCTGATTAATTTCTACTCATTCTTCAAGATGAAGAACATCTTACCTCCTCCAAGAATATTTTACTCATTTCTCCAAGCAGAGTTAAGGTTCCTCCTATGTGCTCTCATGGTATCATGTTATAATCACACTTACATACAAGTTTCTTTTTCAGTTCTCTGTCTAGACTCCAGTAGGCCATGAAGGGCAGAAAATGTGGTCTCTAACTCCCCACTGTACACTGCGGCACAGTGCCTACCCTGTAGAAAGTGTTTAATAAATGTTTTCTAGATGAATGAATCTATCCAGAAAATTGTTGAGGGAATAAAGAAATGCTTATAGAACATAAAATCACCAATTCAAACTATTAATGCCAATGGGTCAATACAATATAATGTATATAAGGTTGAACTATATTTAAAGGAAATCAACGTTAAATGTTTAAAGAATTATTTTAATACTTACAGATTTTGTTTCTGCCCAAATGACTGCTCCAACTCCTATTTTATGATCCTCTGAAAGACAAATGACATTTAACAAATGACAGTAAAAAAACAACAATGATTTGTTAGTTTCAAAAATACATTTTTCTAAAAATAATAAAAATATATTTATTGTAACATACTTTCTAAACGTAGCAATAATTCTTGACATTTCACAAATTATAGAAAACCACTAAAATAAATACTTTTAAGCATTAAATATGGGGGATAGACACAAAATAGACAGTTTCACTGCTAACCCAGTCACATGTGACCTCTATGTGGAGATCATTGAAATGGCAGTGTGTGCCCAAAGTCAGGTCACTTCAGAGTTGTAACCAGAATAGAGTATAACTATTGATTCTCCACCAACAAGTCAGTTTCTAAGTGATTATTTCTAATAGATGATAAAATTTACCTAAAAACAAGTTTCTGAACTGATAAATTTAATGCAATACCTGTTCAAAATAATCAAGTCTGTCTTCTAGAACTTTTTTATACTCCAATCACGAAAAATACATTTCATGAAAATGCTCTTGCTAAGATAAATGTTCAGATTTATAATACAAACATAAACAATTATTTATGGGCTTTCATATATTAATATTGCTGGAAAGTCCATGAAAGGGATTTTGATTTAAACAACATGTTGTCTTTTCCTTGACCTTCATCATTTTCCTTTAGGGAGGGAAATAAGTCAAGTTAGTGACATGATGGTCATTTCTAAATCAACTGTAAGATTATAATTTTCTTGCAAAACCTAAATCTCTACGTGTAAATCTGTACTTCTTAAAACCATTAATAGAAACAGAAAATTCAAAAACCAAAATAGAAGTTCTACATATAAGGGATTGTCTTTTTCCTTCTACTAATACAGGGTGAGTTTCAAATTTCTAAAACAATTATACATTAATTATGAAAACCATAGTATTTTTCAAACTCTTAATAAGGGACTAATGTAGCAAAGTAGGTACATTTACACAGAGTAAGTGACAACCATCTGTGAACGTGCACTGGAACATTTCCATATTGGTGAGGATAAAATGAAACTGGGGCTTCACCCTACAATTTCCTTAAAATCAATCCTTCCAATGATAACATAGTTAAATACTTTTCTAGTAAAAGCACAAAGAAACTTTATTCCACTTATGCATTAAAACTAGGATACCTCATAAATAAGTTAATTTTTTAAAGTTATGCTACTATAATAAAATTCTCCAACTTCAGTTCAAGCAAGCTCAGGTTTTTAAAATTATATTGCAAAACATTTGCATAATTTATTTTAAGCCCCTTTTAACATTATCTCACTTTTACCTTAAAGGTAAAGCAGATAAAATATTCTTTTCTAGATGAGAAAACAGGCAAAGAAATTAAGTGATTAAAATTGAACCCTCTGGACCCAACCTATTTGCCTTTCCTCTACCCCTCCCTTTGATATTAAGAATTTCATAACAAACATTTCCCTTTATTGAATGCCTGAGTATACAGTGGGGAGGGAAAGAGAAGTCCCTATATTCATGAAACTTACAGTCTGTCTAATGAGGGAGGAAGACAGGAATGAGGAAACACCTATGTGCTGTGCTGTGCAGGAAAGTAATACAATGCTGAGGAACAGAGTGTATGGGAAGAGGGCTTACTCTACAGAGTGGAAATTGTCATGAAAGGTATTTTGGTGTAACAAAAGTATTGTTCCTTCTAAGACCTTCAGAATAAAATATGTGGGAAAAGAATATAATTATGGCTTTATGATAATTTCTAAGGTAAGTAGCAGAAGTTATGAACATAAGAATATATTTGCCTACAACACCAAAACCTTTACTGGAAGTAAAATTGTACTTAATACATGCATAACTCTGAAACAAAAAATAAAAAACTAAATAGAAATTCTTCATATTAAGAGCCTACTTTTCCTGCCACCTACACTGACAATTTTTCATGGTGTGTTTGTGTGATCTCAGGAACTACTCTTTGTCTGTCTGAGGACAGACTACACCTTGACAAGAAGGGGGGAGTGTGATTTTCCACCAGCGTGCAGCTCTACTGCCTATCTGAGGTTAGTCATACATGAGAATATTCTTTACTATGTATATTTTAAAATCAAAATGAAATTTCATCCCTGTTAGATGGAGTAGATTTCACCTAGCTCCAAGTTTGGCTAACAGATTAGTTTCTCAAAAATTTTTTCATGTCTGTAATTTTTATAGAAATTGCTCTGGTCATTCACAGTATCTTCTCTGTACACTCTAGAAGGAAAGGGCAATTTATAATCACTGAGCCAAATTCCTGAGACTCTGATCACTAAAAGTCAGGTAACTATGGTTCTAGAACCCAGGCATGGTTATTTTAGCTCCCAATTCTGTGGTCATGTCAGGGTTTGCCCATGTGGTCCATAGGCCACTTGCATCAGAATCACTGGCTGCTTATTAAAAAGGCAGACTCCTGTCTCCCACAGAAATGCCCTAAATCGACCTCTCCATGGAAGGTGGGCAAACACAAGAATCTGCAATTCTCAGGAGAATTCCCTCTGTTAAAAATTGAGAACTGGAAGTGGGGTACAGACTGACAATCCCCTAAAGAGGGGGCGGGGGGGGAGATAAACCACAGAACTTACATGCATGTATGTATGAACAATGGACATGGACAACAAAGGTGGGGACAAGGTGAGGAGGGAGGGGGAGGGAGGAATCAATGGGGGGAAAAGGAGAAACATCTGTAACAAAAATAAATAAATTAATTTAAAAAAGTTGAGAACCACCGGGTTATAATTTGAAACATTAAACTTTCTTGGCTACTCCAACCTACTTTTGTCACCAACACTGTGGTTCATGAGGGAGGTATAATACTCAGCTTTGGAAAATGCCTAATCTAATGGGAAAACAGGTCCCGAAAAAAGAGATTAAAGAAATCACACTTAAACCATGTAGATAAGATGTAATGCCCTCTTAACTCTCCCCCCGCCCCACCGCCAAGAGCCGAAACAAATTTTGTCACTTTTTTGCTACCTCAAAGTCTTATGGAAACATACTTTTAATGACAACTCTGTGGATCCTATTTATTCTTCATTCAAAAACCAATTACTGAACACACACTTTCAATTAGGTTTAAAAAACTCCATTAGAAGTTTTATAATTCGAAGATGGCAGCGTAGGTAAACGCCGTATCACGTCCTCCCACAACCACATCAAAGTTACAACTAAACTACAGAACAACCATCATTCAAAACTGCCTGAAATCAAGCTGAATGGAAGTCCTACAACTACGGAATTAAAGCAGCAGCCACACGAGACTGGTAGGAGGGGCGGTGGCAGACGGGCTGGTCCCACACCCACATGTGGCGGATAAAAATCAGGAGGACACCTCAGCTGGGAAGGTCCCTGTCCCACACCAGGTGCCCCGCTCAGGGTTCCAGTGCCAGGAAGAGAATCCCCATAACTTCTGGCTGGAAAAACGAGCGGGAACTGAGGCTCAGGGAGGCTGAAGCGGCTGGAGCCCCAGGCAGCTCCCTAAAGGGCCCGCGCGCGGACTGATCGGACTCTCTACCTCTAAGCTTGGAGGGGAGGCAGCTCGAGGGGCACCAGAGACATACAGGGAAGAACTGAGCTGTTTGACACTGGAGCGAGGGCTGGAGAGACAGCTTTCTCCGGGACAAACGTGCCATCAGAGGCCTTTGTTCCTCTGGTGAGCCCTTCCCTGGGGCGGCAGACAGTCTCCATATCTGGGACTCCAGCAACCTGGCTCACACTGGTAGCCCCACCTTGGTGACTCCCTGAGGCCCCACCCCATCCCACCCAACTTTCCAGCCCACCCAAGCTGTTGCCTTTTGCTTAACCATAGGATTGGCCTGTCTTGGATCCTGCATCAAGTTTTCCCTAAATTCTTTCAAACAAGCAGCATCTGGTCTCAGATAGCCCCATACTGCTCGTTAAGTAATACACTGAAACAAACCCAGGGAGGCAGCCAAAATGAGGAGACAAACAGGTCCCAAATAAAAGAACAGAACAAAACCCCAAGAAAAGAACTAAGCAAAATGGAGATAAGCAACCTAACAGATGCTGAGTTCAAAATACTGCTTATAAGGATGCTCAATGAACTTAGTGAGAACCTCAGTGAACTTAGTGAGGGTCTCAAGAGCATAAAAAAGGGCCAGTCAGAAATGATGGATGCACAGTCAGAAATGAAGGAGGCATTAACTGAAATAAAGAATAATTTACACAGATTCAATAGTAGAGTACGTAAATCCAAGAAGCAAACCATCGATTTGGAATATAAGGAAGCAAAAAACGCCCAATCAGAACAGCAAAAAGAAAAAAGAATAAAAAAAAAATGAGGATAGTGTAAGGAGCCTCTGGGACAACTTCAAGCGTGCCAACATTCGCATCTTGGGGGTGCAGAAGGAGAAGAGTGAGAACAAGAAAAAGAAAACCTGTTTGAAACAATAATGGCAGAAAACTTTCCTAACTTGGTGAAGGAAACAGACATACAAGTCCAGGAAGCACAGAGAGTCCCAAATAAGATGAACCCCAAGAGGCCCACACCAAGACACATCATCATCAAAATGCAGAAAGTTCAAGACAAAGAGAGAATCTTAAATTCAGCAAGAGAAAGGCAGCTAGTTACCTACAAGGGAGTACCCATTAGGCTGTCAGCTGATTTCTCAAAAGAAACTTTGCAGGGCAGAAGGGAGTGGCAAGAAATATTCAGAGTGATGAAAAGCAAGAACCTACAACCAAGATTACTCTATCCTGCAAAGCTGTCATTTAGAATCGATGGCCATATAAAGTTTCCTAGACAAAAAAAAGTTAAAGGAGTTCATCACCACCAAACCGTTATTATGTGAAATGATGAAGGGTCTTTTTGAAGAAAAAGATAAAATATATGAACAAACAAAATGGCAATGAATACATATCTATCAACAATGGAATCTACACACAAAATGAACAGGCAGAACAGAAACATTCTCGGAGATACAGAGAACATTTTGTTGGTTGCTAGATGGGAGGGGGATTGGGGGAATGGGTGAAAAAGGTGAAGGGATTAAGACGCACAAATTCATTGCTAGACTGACAAACCTCAAAGGGAAAGGGGTTGGGGGGGGGGAATAAACCAAAGACCTTATATGCATAACCAATGGACACAGACAATAGTATGGGAAAAGGCGGGAGGGGGGCGGGAGGGGGCAAGAGGGGTCAATGGGGGATAAATGAGGAACATCTTAATACAGTCTACATTCAACAATAAAGATAAAAAAAAGTTTTAGAATTCATTTTAATCATATATATATATATATATATAATTTTTTTTGTTAATCCTCACCCAAGGATATTTTTTCATTGGTTTTTAGATAGAGTGGAAGGAAGGTAGGGAGAGAGAGAAATATCGATATGAGAGAGACATTGATTGGTTGCCTCCCGCATGACCCCAACCGGGGCTGTGAACCTCCAACCCAGGTATGTGACCTTGGCTGGGAACTGAACATGAGACCCCTTGGTCCTTAGGCTGATGCTTAACTGCTGAGCCAAACTGGCCAGGGTCATATGTATATTTTTGAATGAAATGGTTTAATAGAGTGGTTTGTTCACCTATTAGAATAAAATAAAGTCATCATTGCAAACTGAACAGTGTGAAATTAGAACACTCTCTCATGGGGATATGAGACCTTGCTGGATTGTCCTCCATGTTAAATAAGATCTGCATATAAATACCTAGCTCTGTGACTGACACATAGTAGGTGCTCAAAAAATTGTTATTGCCACTATTTATCACCAAAGAAGAGCATAGGTCCAGAATTACTTATCTGAAATTCCCTATATCAAGTTTTCTTTTTTACAGCTTGATGCACTTATTTTGTGTCTACACCTGACAAATATTTAATGCAAAGATTCATACATTTTACTCCATTTGAGTAAAAGTGTTTGATTACAAGGTACTGCCACAGACCCCTGGGAGTGCTGTGTAATGTACAGTACATGCACCATGTTACCTTTCTAAAATCTGACAAACTCTGAATTCCTGTCGTCTGGCTTCAGAGTTTTCGATAAGGGATTGTGGACCATTTATCTTTGGATATAAAAAGATTTTTCTTTTATCCATTTAGCACACAGTGCTTAGTGCTAAGGAAAAAAAATGATGAAGACGTGGTCTCTTCCCCAGAAAAGCTCACAATGGAGTGCAGTTCATGACAGAAGTTGCATTGTGTTTAGGATTTGGATTCCAGGCAAAAATAGTCATACATAGTAAAAAAATTAACCTTGAAAATCTTTTAAATTGCCCACCAAGTGCAGAAGCATGGCTGTATGTGAAAAAAACAAAAACTAAAACTAAAACTCTGCACGGAAATTGTGGCTACATTTATAATTAGAATATCTCATAAATACTATATATACAAATTTATATCTAAACATTACTGCATCTTTAAACACTGGAATCATATATCATATGAACTAATCATATATAGAAGTACTGAGATCAAATAAAAGAATAGTATATTCACATCTCCCAGCTTACACTCATTCTGAAATCTTCTGAATTCCAATTAGCAAGGGGAATTCATGAATTATAGCTGTAACAACAGCTGTTCTCATTCATGTTTTTTTTCTTTCCAGAATGATTTATAGAAGAGTTACTTGTAAAGCTGATTTTGGCAAAGAGACTAATGTATAGCCCACATATAAAATAATTAAGTTAAATCAGACTTTTACACGATAGAGTTGTTTGGCATCATATAGCTTACGCCTATAATAGAATCAAAATCTTTTTTTTTTTTAATCCTCACCAAGGACATGCTTAGAAAGAGGAAGAAAGAGAGAGATAGAAAGATAGAGAGCGAAACATCGATGTGAGAGAGAAACATAGATCAGTTGCCTTCCATACATGCCCCAAGACCAGGGATTGAATCCGCAACCCAGGAATGTGCCCTGACTAGGGATCGAACCCTCAACATTTTGGTGCACAGGATGATGCTCCAGACAACTGAGCCACTTCGGCTAGGCCAGAATCAAATTCTTTAATAAGAATTGAGTGATTATTAACCTTACTGAATATCAGAGTTCCTTGCAGAACTTAAAAAATGTATAAGCCTAGGCCACAACCTTAGGGACTTGGTTTAATCTGGGTCGGAATTTGAGCATTTGTCTTTTAATAAAATTTCAGTGGTAATTCTGATATGCTGCCAGTTGAGAACCTCCAATCTAATAAAATTACTTTGTCTTTGTTTAGAACACACTGCAGGCCAGGGCATTTATATTAACTTTTTCTGAAGATTTTCTCTTTTCTTTCTTTCTTAGAATAAGGTTTAAAAAATCGTACTGTATTCCACTCAAATCTTACTCTACTGCTCTTCCTGCCTGCATTTTCTCCTCATTTCAAAGTTGCATTTTAAAAAGGGATGATTCTTTTACTTTGAAAAAATTTACATCTGGTAAGATGTAAAAACACTGTTCTATAATTAGAAATAGAGATGCCATCTTTTATCACAATAAATAAAATTCCCAAGAAATATTTTCCTTTTATACACACGTACCCACGCATAACTTAATATAACAAAATAAAAATGTTTGATTTTTCTACTTGCTGATTGGACATACTAGCAATTGAAAAATATCTGCCAATATTCCTTTACTTTGATTCTGTTATTTTGAATTCATATATTGTAAAGACTATTTTAAGTTTTTATTAATATTGAATATATTTAAATATTGAAGAGTTAACAAAAATGAATGATTTTGTTACCACTCTTTCTCTTTTTGTTCCATCTCTAGTGGAAGAATCAATGAACAGTGAAATGATAAAAACAAGAAGCAGAAAGAAAGGCCTAGATAATCAGGCCCTGGTTTAAAAATGTAGCCCCAAATTATAAGGCCGTAAGGAATCCCAAAACTGCTCTAAGGAAGACTTGTCTACTCAAGGGTCTCACTAACTTCTCTATATTGTACGAGCAGCAAAACTTCAGTGTCTGAGAGTAAATGAACTCTACCATCGATGAGATGAACCCCTCTTTAGTTCTGAGATAATTACAACCCAATTGATAAGCCCCAATTCATGAACTAAGCATATATAACTTACCAGTTCGATATGCCAATAACCTGGCCTGAACCATGCAGTGTCTTGCAATTTCTTGTGGCAAACTTTGATTGTGAATTTCATTAATCTGTTCAGTATTGTCACAATAAAATCCATAGTGTTTGCAGTTGGGCACACTGGAAGCTACTGTAGCCAAAAGTACGACAAGGTCTTTCATGTTTTGCCTTAGATTGCTAAAGTATGGATTTTCACATAGGTTCTCCAAACCTATAGTCATCAGTATCTGCTTATGTAGTTCTTCATTGGAAACCAAAAATAACATTTCATATTCTTTTATTTTTTCTTGTCTACATTTAGAATAAAAGTCAATGTTAGCATCTGGAAATGTTTTTGCAATTTTTTGAATAAAGTCACATTTGCAAGAGGTCTCCTCTACAAACTGCATCATATAATACACCAAAGGCTGAAGCAAGACACACACGTGGGCCCTACTGTTTGATTTCAATCTTTCCACTGCTTTGGCATCTAATTTTGCATCTTCAGAACTAGAAGTCTCAGAAAGCAAACTTATTTCTGGATCAGTAGGCCAATATGAAATTCGGTTAACTCCAGCTGAAATACAAAATATGAAAGGTAGTAATCAGATATATGTTGAAATTAAGGGTCTTCTTGATAAATTCACCACTGCAGTAGATCCAAAGGTCCCAATATAATGTCTATGACCAAGTCACCAATAATACAGCCTATTGGCAAGCCATGGTCCACAGACCATATCCAGCCCATTGCCTATCTTTGCAGGCTAAGAACTGATTTTATAGTTTTAAATAGTTGAAAAAATAAAAAACAAGACTATTTTATAACACAAAAATTATATGAAATTCAAATTTCAGTGTCCACAAATAAAGTTTTATTGGATCATAGAACAACCATTCATTGACACAGTCTTTGGCTGCTTATGCAGTACAATGGGGTAGCTGAATTGAGAGCTTAGTACCTATATAAACACCATGTGGCATGCAAAGCCTAAAATATTTATTATCTGGCTTTTTATAGGAAAAGTTGACCAAACCCAAAGAAAGCCCATGGTAGGTATTTGTGGAATCATTGGACTTCCTAAGTGTGGTCCCAAAGCCCAGTGTTGGGACGATATACCAGAGTCCTACAAGTAATCAAATGCCTGCTTTTATAAATATCATAGCCAACAACTGACTGTGTCTAGAGTTTTGTATCTGAAATAAACTATTCAACCATGCATTAAAAATATACCTGTACTCTGAATTCTCCCTCTGGGAAGCTACTCTATAAAAATATTTCAAATAGAGATAAAAAAATGCATGGATATATTTAGTACAGCATTGTTTAAAACAGTAAAAAACAGAAAACAAAACAAAACAAAACAAAAAATAGGAAAATGGTTAAATAAATTTGTATCCTTCTCATAACAAAATATTATACAGTTATCCAACATTTCCACAAAGAACTTATAAGTTGAGGGCAGCAGTGGGGAAGGGAGCGATATTCTATTTTTTTAAGTCTACAAAATTAAAAGACAGAGTAACAAACTAGAAGGAACATTTTCGATCAAAGTGATAGCAGAAAGGTTAGTTATCCTTAGTATACAGAGAAGATTTTAATTCATTTAGAGCATATACAGGTATAAATTGATAAGAACAAGGCCTCAAGAGTCTAAAAGATACAAAAAATTTACAAAAGAGAAAACAAACCTAGATAACTAACATATGAAAAAATATTTTAATTTGTATTTGAAGTTGAATGAGAGATGCCTTATACAGAATTAAGCACTGAAATGTTCATCAACTAATTAGTATTTTACAACAGAGACCCTTTTGCTAGTATCGCATGTAATTACAGCTGAGACATTTTTTATGATTGTGCTCAGAAGTGACTAGAGAGCCCACATGTTGTCTGCATTCAAAGTATTAGATTAACTAAAAAGTCTTAGTTGAATAAACACACATTTATACCTACTCCCTGCTACTTCTGACTCTTACTGTGACTTGGGCTGTAAAGCAATTTGGAAAGCCTCAAAGCTAACATCAGAGTTTCCTCCAGCTGCATTTCACCTACTCTCTTTTGGAGTTCTCAAAATCCATTTCCTAACCAGCAGTGATAGTCAATTTTTCATCTAAACATCCTGGTTGCTTCTAGTAATCCTGATTTCAAGGAGAAGAGGGTATGGCCAATCTTTAAATAAATATTCAAGTACCAGTGGCAAAGGTTATTGAAGTTTTCCAGTTTTCAAAATTTTTTTCTTTATTGATTTTAGAGAGAGAGCAAGGGAAACAGACAGAAACATCAATGAGAAAGAACACTGACTGGCCGCCTCTTGCATGCCCCCCCACTGGGGATTTGGTCCACAACCTGGGCATGTGCCCTGACCGGGAATCGCACCAGCGACAGCTTGGTGCATGGGTTGATGCTCAACCAGTAAGCCACACCAGCCGGACCAGTTTTTTTTCATCTCAGACCCCATTATATTCTTTAAAATTAATGAGGACCCCAATGAGGTGTAGATTATATCTACTGGTATTTTCTGTATTAGAAAATTAAAACAAAAATTTAAAAATAATTCACATCGCTTCTCGGCCTTTTGGCTAAGATCAAGTGTAGTATATGTTCTTTTCAGTTTAATATCTGATACATCCGCTATCCGAGGACAATATATTAAATGAATTTTTGGAGCAGGGAGATGGAATAGAAGCTTGCTCTGTCCACTCCACACATCAACCCGGTATTACAGTACCTCTGGGAATGGTGCAAGAAGGAAAAAAATATTAATTCACTAAAAAATACTATGTAGCTGTAAGAAAGAACTCTTACCCTTTGAGATGATTAGGCAGGACCTAGAGAGTACTATGCTAATGTAATAAGCCAGTCAGATAGAGAAAGACAAGTATCACATAATCTCACTTATTTGTGGAATATAACGGACAACATAAGCTGACGAACAAAATAGATCCAGAGACATGGAAGTAGGGAACAGACTGACAAATGTCAGAGGGAAGGTGGCTGGGGTGGGAAGAGATAAACCAAAGAATTTATATGCATATATGCATAACCAATGAAGCAGGGGGTGGCGGGAGCAAGGAGGAGAGTGTCAATGGGGAAAAAAAGGAGCGACATCTGTAATACTTTCAACCACAAAGATAAATTAAAAAAAAAAAAAAAAAGAACAATAAAGAACCTATTATATATTAATATAAATAACATAGTTCAACAAAAAATATATTTTTCAAAACAATAAAAACTAGATAGGAAAATGACATTGTTTTAAATTTTTACAAATCTCTTTATTATCTGGCTTAATAGAAGACATTTGGATTCTCAAATCTGCTGCAATAGGTTGTTTTTCACTGAAGTATATAAAAGTATCCGCCTCACAGAGGTGTGTAGTTGAAAAAGGAGCATGTTAACAGCCATTTCAGATAGTTGTCAATATTCTTCTTTGACACTACATAAAAATTTGACAAAGGATAGTATCTTAAAGGTTAGTTACAATGTAGAATCTGAAATCATAAAAAAATTTTTGTAGTTATGTTAAATTCCATTATTTAAAAAATTCCACTTATTCACTTTACCACCGGTGTCATCCAGAAGAGGTTCTGAGTGCTGGGAATCTATAAGCTCATGATACTAAGTTTTTGAAATTTTTAATTTTCACTTGAAGACTCAAATTTTATCATTGACAACAAATACTGTCAGTTGTTTTCTTGGAAGTGACAGGTTCACTTAATTATTTTTTGAGACAATGTCTGCCAAGTAGCCAAATGTAAATAATGATAGTTTGTCAGATCATGGTGTTCCATGAAAGAAGTGGACAATGCAGTTCACAACTCAAACATCTGCATGGGTGATTTTCCATAAGGCAACCTGCATACTTAGGTTTGTAGCAAAAGTGCTTTATGTCTACCTCCTATTTTCTCACACAGAATATAATAAAGATGTGTACTAAGGGTTGGGATTTAATAAAATTAATAATTTTTACTGTTTCATGAGACATTCTTACACAAAACCTTTTTATTAAAAAAAAAAAAACAACTCCCAGTATGTGGCCATGAAGAGAACAATGACTACTATTGCCTTGTTCTTACTAGGCAACAATGGTTTTCCTCACTACTGTTGTGGTATTAGTGTGAATGCAGTAGTATTATGAAAATGGTTTTGACATTGTGGAACATCATGAGTCCACAGACCACATTTAGAGAACCACTGTGCTTTGGAAATGTTTGCTATATAACTGATGTAACAATAATTGCAACTAAAGTAATTTAGCAATAGCATGGAGTTAAACAAAGCCACTTCCCAAGATATAATATATAAACCTAATCTAATATAGCAATTTTATTTACATATGGGTCTAGCACTAACATAAAAACATTTCTTTTGTAGGTTCTTCCTGATTTTCCACACTTCATCATCTCTCTTGACAGGTTTAAATGTCTTAAAGACATCGAGCAGTGGTCAGTAACTTGCACTTCCCTACTTTTCCCATTCTTGGCTCTAAGGCTATTCAGAGTGTGGACAGCATAGTCAGCTCAACACAAAACACAAGTATTGTTTATTCCTTTATTCAAAAACTACTTTGGTCTTTCAGTCTTCCTTTCCATATCAGTGTTATCCTCTCAGTTCTATTTTTATACCCTGCCTAATGCAATAGTCTATTAATCATACTCTTAATCTCTTATCTTTTCATGCTCCAATTCAATACCAAAAAATAAAAATAATAATTTTAATCATCAAAATGCTCAAAAACTTCAGTGGTGGGCTCCACATGATCTATAATAGGATTTACAGGTCAATTAACACAAGTGATAAGGTAAATATCCAATCTGCCCTGTTAATTGGGAAAAAAAGAAAAAAAAAAAAAAAAGCCACCACCATCTTTCCTATCTTCTCTACTTCGAACTGCAGGGGAAAGACTATAGAATCTAACAATTACCAGAGATACCCTACCTGCTAGAAATATTGTCGAAGGCCAGGAGGCTCTAGCCACTTGTAGCTCAAGGGCACTACCTTCACTATGAACCTGATCATTACTCTTAAGACTTTGATGTAAATAAAAATAGCACTTTCTCAAAACAAGTTTAGAAGCTCTGTTCTATAAGATAAAGCCCAAAGGCTGTACAGTTTTCCAAAGTTCTCCAATAAACCCCAATTTATCATTATAATCCATCTGCCACTATTCTCCCCAAGAATGATTCTCTATTTAAAATGCTGAACATTGCATCTCACAAACTGATGACCCCACATATGCTGGTGCCCTGACCAGGGATGTGTTCCTCCTCCTCTACCTCTGACCCATCAAGATGCAGCTTAAGTCCTAGCCTTTCATAACATGCCAACCAGGAGGGATCACTGTTTCTTCTCTAATCTCTTATCACTTACAGCCTGTATCACTCATTTGATACTGGATGATGTGTTGTTATTTTTGGCTGCCAATAACTCCTTGAGAAAAAGGATTAGGGGCTATATTAGCCTTTTGTCCCAGAGTTTGGAGTATTTTGTTCTAGATCTGTGAAATATGCTGTTGATATTTTAATAGGGATTGGTTTGGGTAGTCTGGATATGTTAATGATGTTAATTCTTCCTATCTATGAACACAGTATATGCTTCCACTTGTTTGTATTTTCCTCTATTTGTTTTTTCAATGTCCTGTAGTTTTCCGAGTACAGGTCTTTTACTTCCCTGGTTAAGTTTATTCCTAGGTATCTTGATTTTTTTGTTGCATAGGTAAATAGCATTGTTTTTTGTTTGTTTCTTTTTCTGAAAGTTCATTGCCAGTGTATAAAAATGACATCGATTTAGGGATGTTAATGTTGAATCCTGCTATTTGCTGAATTCATTTATTAAATCTAGTAGTTTTTGAAGGAGTCTTTAGTGTTTTCTATGTACACTATCATGTCCTCTGTGAATAATGAAAGTTTTACTTCTGCCTTTCCAGTTTAGATGCCTTTTATTTTTTCTTCTTGTCTGATCGCTGTAGCTAAGACTTCCCAGTACTATGTTGAATAAGAGTGGTGAAAGCACATATCCCCATCTTGCTTTAGTTCTTAAGAAAACTGCTTTTAGTTTTTGACCATTGAGTATAATGTTGACTGTAGTATGTCATATATGGCCTTTGTTATGTTGAGGTATGATCCCTCTTTCCCAATTTGCTGACAGTTTTTATAAAAAATGGATGCTGGCTTTGTCTAATGTTTTTTCTTTATCTATTGATATGATCATGTGATTTTTTATCTTTCATTTTATGTGATGTATCACATTTATTGATTTGTGAATCAATAAATTTGCATTCCTGGGATAAATCCCACTTGGTCATGGTGAACAATCTTTTTATTATATTGCTGGATCCGATTTGTTAATATTTTGTTGAGGATTTTGGTGTCTATGTGCATCACGGATATGGACCTATAATTTTCTTTCTTTGTAGTGTCTTTATCTGGCTTTGCAATTAGGATAATGCTGGCCTCATAAAAAAAAATTTAGATGTCTTCCTTCCTCTTGAATTTTTTGGAATAGTTTGAAGAGGATAGGTATTAGTTTTTTGAATGTTTGGTAAACACTCCCCTGTGAAGCCGTCTGGGAGTTTGCTGGGAGATATTTTTATTACTGCTTCAATTTCATTAGTTGTTTTTGGTCTATTCAGGTTTTCTGATTCTTCCTGATTCAGTTTTGGAAGATTGTATGTTTCTAGAAATTTGTCCATTTCACTCAGGTTGTCCAATTTGTTGGCATCTATTTTCTTACAATCCTTTGTATTTCTGCGGTATCAGTTCTTACTTCCTCTTTTGTTTCTGATTTTATTTATTTGGGTCCTCTCTCTTTGCTTTTTGATGAGTCTGGCTAGAGGTTCATTGATCTTGTTAATCTTTTCATAGAACCAGTCTTTGGTTTTATTGATCTTCTGTATTGTTTTGTTAGTCTCTCTGTCATTTATTTCCACTCTAATCTTTACTATTTCCTTTCTTTTACTTGCTCTGGGTTTTTCTTGTTGTTCTTTTCTAATCCTTTTAGTTGTGGGATTATATTGTTTATTAGAGATTTTTCTTATTTCTTGAAGAATGCCAGTATTGCTATGAACTTTCTTCTCAGGACTGCTTTTGCTGTGTCCCATATATTTTGGGTTGTTGTGTGTTCATTTTCATTTGTTCCCAGGAAGTTTTAAATTTCTTCTTTGATCTCATTGGTAACCCATTCATTGTTTCATAACATGCTATTTAGTCTCCATGTGTTTGGATGTTTTCGAGTGTTTTTATTGTAGTTGATTTCTAGTTTCATGCCATTTTTGATCTGAAAAGATGCTTAATAGGATTTTAATCTTCTTGAATTTGTTGAGGCTTATTTTGTGTCTTAACATATAGTCTATCTTTGAGAATAACCCATGTACATATGAAAAGAATATACATTCTGATGCTCTGGATGGAATGTTCTGTAAATATCACTTAGATACAACTGATCTAGTGTATTTAAGATCAGTCATTTAAGGCCACAGTTTTCGTGTTGATTTTTTTGGCTTGAAGATCTATCCAGTGAATTCACTGGTACATTAAAGTCCCCTGCTATGATTGATTGTATTGTTGTTGACCTCTCCCTTAAAGTCCTCCAGGAGTTTTTAAATATATTTTGGTACTCTTATATTTGGTGCGTATTTGTTTACCAGGATTATATCCTCTTGTTGGATCCATCCCTCGAGTATTACATCATAACCTATGTCTCTTGTTATGGCTTTCATTTTGAAGTCCATTTTGTCAGATATGAGTATTGCTACCCCAGCTATTTTTGGTTTCCATTTGCATGGAAAAAATGTTTTCCATTCCTTCACTTTCATCCTGTGAGTCTTTTGTTCAGAGCTGCATCTCTTGTAGGTAGCATATAGAGTGTCCTCCCCTCCCCAAATGTATATAAGGCATCTGTAGATTCAATTACATTTTGAAAATAAAATGTATTTTAATAAACACTGGCTTTATAAGTATTCAAAGTTGTGTATACATTTTTTGGGACACCTTTTATATGGGTCATTTTTTCTCATCCATTCAGCTACCCTATGTCTTTTGATTGGACCATTTAATCCATTTACATTTTAGGTTATTATTGATAGGTACTTATTTATTGACATTTTTATTCTTTACACCTATGTGTTTTTTTTCTCTTTCTCTCTAGTTCCTATTCTGATTACAGCAGTCCATTTAACATTTCTTGCAATGCTGGTTTGGTGGTAATAAACTTCTTCAGCCTTTTTTGCCTGGGAAGCTGTTTATTTTGCCTATTTTCAATGACAGCTTTGCTGGATAGAATTGTCTTGGTTTCAGATCACTGCTTTTCATTACCTTGAGTATTTCATGCCATTCCCTTCTCGCCATCAGTGTTTCTGTTGAAAAATCAGCTGACAGACTGATGGGAACTCCTTTGTAGGTAGCAAATTGCTTTTCTCTTGCTGCCTGTAAGATTCTCTCTTTGCCTTACTTTTTTGGCATTTTTTAAATTATTTATTTATTTTTGAGAGAGAGGAAGGGAGAGAGAAATTGATTGAGAGAGAACCATCAACTGGCTGCCTGCTTGCATGCCCCCTACTGGGGATCGAGCCCGCAACCCAGGCATGTGCCCTGACTAGGAATCAAACCAGGACCTCTCAGTCCATGGCACAACACTCAGTGCACTAAACCACACCAGCCGAGTTATTTTTTGGCATTTTAATTATGTGTCTTATGTGAGCCTCTTTGGGTTCTTCTTGCTTGGAACATTCTGTGCTTCCTGAACTTGTGTAACTATTTCCTTCACCAAGTTAGGGACATTTTCTGCCATTATTTCTTCAAACAGTTTCTCTATCCCTTGCCACTTTCTTCTCTTTCTAGGACTTCCATGATGTGGATATTGTTACATTTCATATTGTCTCACTGCTCCTTTAAACTGTCCTCTTGTTTTTAAATTGTTTTCTTTTTGGTTCTCTGTTTGAGTGATTTTTTTTTTCCTACCTTGTCTTCTAATTCTTTTATATGATCCTCAGCTTATCCTCTAATCTGCTGTTTATACTTTCCAGTGTATTCTTTATGTCTGCTATGTCATTCTTCATTTCCGACTGGTTATTTCTCATAGTCTCTATGTCTCTTTTCATGCTATTGAGCATCCTTATAACATTACTCTGAATGCTATATCTGATAAATTGATCATCTCCATTTCATTTAGCTCTTCTTCTAGAGATTTCTCTTGTTCTTTCATTTAGGGTTTATTTCTTTGTCTCCCCATTTTGGCTGTCTGTTTGTTATTGTTCCTATGTATTAGGTAGATCTGCTATGTCTCCAAGTCTTGGTAGGTTGGCCTTATGTTGTAGGTGACCTGTGGAACCTGGGGCAGTCTCCCTGTTCATCAGACCTGGGTGTTCTAATAATGTCCTTTGTGTGAACTGTGTGGGTCCTCCTGCTATAATTGAGTCCTGTCTACTATTGTCCTGTTTGTGCATGGGCTTGACCCTCTGGTGGGCTGACAGTGAGGCTCAACCCCCAACACAGCATGCAGGCTGCTGTGCTGGTGCTTACTACACAGAGCAGAATTCACCTCAGCAGGGTTTGAAGCATGCCGATATCTCCCTGTGGATATACTGCTTGTAAAGCTTATTGGATCCTGCTCTGTTGTTGTCTAAAGCTGGCCACTAAGTTTATTTATTAGTTTTGGGCCTCTTCACAGAGTTTCTGGTGCAGGCCAATGTCAGATGCTGTTTGTGACTGGCCTTGAGTACCCTATTTGTAACTATCAGCAATCCACAGCTTGTGGCTCCCACTGTTGGGGCTGGATGTATGTGGAAAGGACAAAGCTGTGCATCAAGGCCTGCTTTTACTAGCCCTGAGCCCAGGAGCTGGTCAGGCAAAGACTCAAAAGATTCTAGAAATCCACCTCTGTGCGTAGACTGACTGTTAGTCTTAGTCACTTAATGAGCCTCAAGCTGCACTCCTCAGCAAGATGTAAACCTACAAGGCGGTGTGATAGGGCTTCCGGCATGTGGGGCAATTGCTTCCTCCCAGGCTAAAGCTGCATTGATGTGAAAAATCTGCCTGAGAAAGACGACTTCTGCAGCATGGGGTAATAACTCAGCACAGGGATCCTGGTGGCTGTCCTCTCAGCTCTCTCCCCAGAGCTACCAACCCCAGACTTTCCTCAAGCAGCTCTAGTCCACTCTGCCCTCCCTCTGCCAGAGCCCAACATGAGTGGCTGCAAATAAAATGTAATGTGTTGGCCCTTTAAGAGAGTGCCTGTGTTTCTAGTTGTCTCTCCCTGCCAGGCGAACCCCCAGTACTTTCATGGTCAGATAATATGTGGGCACCTTTCCCAGTTCTGTTACTCTGGGCTGGGTAGCCCAGCTTGGGGTTTAGACTCCAGATTTCTCAGGGGATACCCCCCACTTCTGAGATATCCTTCTGGAACTTCAGCCTCTGTCTGTGGGAGTCTGGCCAGCCCTCTTGTGCCTCTGCACTTCCTCCCAGTCCTGATGTGGGCTCCTATTTATGTCCTTGGTTATCAGGGTTCTCTTTGGCTACTCTTCAGTTGGTTATTCAGGATGATTTTTCTACATTTTAGTTGTAATTCCAGTTTGGTCCTGAGAGGTCAGTGTAGATTCCACCTAATCTGCTGCCATCTTGGAATCCCTCTAAATCCCAAGATAGCTTATAAATAGCAGAAAAGTCTGCATACTTACTTGGGGGCAAAAAAAGAAGCATAAACACAAAGAGGTTTAATGAGTAGCCTAATATAACAGAGATAGAAAGCTATACATTAATTATTTGTGTTCCTCCTTCCAAAATGTAGAGTAGTCATTGGGAGGCAGCTGCCCAGCCAGCAACTACAGTTCCCACAATGAATATGAACAGAAATGATGTATATGACTTCTGAGCCAGAATTTTTAAAGAGCAAGTATGCCTTTTCTATGTTCTTTTTCTGTCTGGATGCAGAGGACTCAAGGCTCTTGGGGACGACAGCAGTAATACTACAGAAGATGCCTAGGCCCATGAATCAACCATATGGAGAAAGCTGACTGCTGTTCAGCAACATCTGCATGGGGATATTATAGTATCCCCAGTTTCTATGTGCAGTTTCAATTTCTGTGGTTTCAGTTACCGACAGTCAATCATGATCCACAAATATTAAATGAAAAATTCCAGAAATAAACAATTCATAAGTTTTAAATCGTATACCATTCTGGGTAGCATAAATAAATCTTTCCCTGCCCCACTCCATCTTATCCTGGACATAAATCATCCCTTTGTCCAGCATCTCCACGCTGTATACTCTGCCTGCCCACTAGTCACTCAGTACTAGGCTATCAGATCGACTGTTGCAGAATCACAGCATCTATCACAGTACTTGTGTTCAAGTAATGCTTATTTTAACTTAATAATGGCCCCAAAGTGATGCTGGCAGTTCAGACATGCCAAAGAGAAGAGGAAAATTTCTTCCTTTAGGTGAAAAGGTATGTATACACAGAAAAAAGCCAAAATATATAAGGCTTAGTAATATAGTTTGAGGCATCCACTGGGGGTCTCCCCCCATGGATAAAGGGATACTACTGTATAAGGGTTATAAATGCCTAGTATATTAATCCACTGAAATTTTAGTATTCTTTTTGTTATAGCAGTAACATTAGTCTACTAATACATAAAACATCATCTAATTAGTTAGTGACAGGCTAAGAAGAGAATCCATGCTTTCTGATTCTTCTTATAGTATATCAAACTGGCTTTGATACACACACACACACACACACACACACACACACACATATATATATATATATATATATATACACATACAGAGAGAGAGAGAGAGAGAGAGAGAGCGCTATTTCTAAATTACCTCTGTGGTATTGATGCAACTTGTTTCCACTGACTGTTCTCAGATAAATGCTAGTACTCCCCAACAAAGCCTTATCTGCACTTACCATTTACAATCATTTTCAAACAAGCGGAACATGGTTTTCTGGAAAAATAAAGATCACAGTTTTTCAGCCTTGACCCATGTTTTATAAGAGCAATTTTCCCAGCATGTAACTCTTCACTCGAACAGTGAAGATCAACAATTTTCATGTTTTTCACCACCACAAGACCAGTTTTCTTCACCTACATTGAGATACAAAATAATTTATTAGTTATATCATACCGAGGATTATATTTCATTAATTAATAAAATGAATATTTGTTTAGTTCTTTATCTGAACATTTTAAACAAAAGTACATTTTTCATTAGGTCCCCAAATTTTTTTGAATATTTAATGTTGGCTTTATAACAGAAATGTTCTAAGTCTAGGATATCTTAATCAATTAAGCATATAATTATCATTAATTTGTCCTAGTGAAAACTGAATACATTTTGACCTAGTAAAGGGCAAGAAGCAAGTCGATTTGACTTTTTTTTCTTATAGCATCTAGTCTAGGACTATTTAGTATTAAGCTTCTAGATGGTCATAAAGAAAAATGTGGAAAACTGTAATTTTACACATGAATAAGTGAAGTCCAGAAAGTTCACATGACTTTCTGAAAGCCCCTCAGATGATAAAGGCAGAACTAAACCAGAGGCAGTCTTAAATTTTTTAATATTTAAAATATTGATTAAAATAAAAATAATTCTCAATTTCTTTCTTAACAATTTTTAGCCCTGGCCAGTTGCTCAGGGGTTAGAGTGTTGGCCTGCGGACCAAAGGGTTATGAGTTCAATTCTCAGTCAAGGGCACGTACCTGGGTTTCAGGCTCGATCCATGGCCCCTGTCTGGAGGAGGCAACCAATGATGTGTCTTTCTCACATCAATGTTTCCTCTCTCTATCCCTCCCTTCCATTCTATCCCTTCCTTTTTACCACTATGGCAGTCTAGATTAATGTGGTTCCCTTCCCAGAAATATATATAAGTTTAAATATGTAGTCAGGCCCCAAATAATGGAAGACACAGTTCAGATATTAGAAAGGAAGAGCAACCTCAAAGCCAGAGAAGTTAGCTTCAGCCATCTCAGCAGTATCCCACCCACAAGTGGTAGATTGGGCTAACTCTGCTTTTAAGTCTCGGAGGCTGAGGACTGGCTGGGATTCTTAAGAGTTGTTACTTTAAACCTAAAGTGACCTTACTTAAAGAAATATTAGTCAAAAAAGCTGGTGTAACAATATTAATATCAGATAAAACAGACTAAGGTAAAAATCAGTTCTACGTAAGGCACAAAATAGTCTCTGCTGTTGTCACAGAGAAAGACTCTGAAATTAGGAATGTAAACAAGATCCTTGGGTTCTGGACTGACTAGTATAATATGAGGGGAACTTGGACTGAGAATAGGGTATCCATGTTTCCCTACTCCCCTTCAACGGGATTTTACTCTACAGTTATCCCCAATAGTAAACATTTAAAATCACTTCAAAGATCAGACCAAAGCTATATTGACTAAAACAGTCAAGTTTCAGTTATGACTATAAATATTTGACACTATGGGGAACATTTTATAAAATGCCTTAAAAGGAATAAATAAGGTTTTATAGAATACCTGGTCTGAGTTAACCATCTCCTAAACTATAATAACATTTAAAAGGAATACAAAAATATTTCGTCTATAATATTTATATCTAAAATATTAAACATCTATCTATATTGGTTTTTTAAATAAACTTTAAATTTACCTTGACTTTGTAAATGCTTTCCCTCCCCATCCCAAAATTTGTAGTTTTATGTTTCTCAAGTACAAAGTATATTAGTATCTACTTCTGAATACTTCCAGCAAGTTTTTTTTTTTAATCCTTACCCGAGGATATTTTTCCATTGATTTTTGCAGATAGAGTGGGAGGGTGGGAGAGAGACATCGATCAGTTGCCTCCCACACAACCCTGACTAGGGCTGGGGATTGAACCCGCAACCCAGGTACGTGCCCTTGACAGGGAATCAAACCTGCACTCTTCATTATAACTTCTGGGCCAAACTGGCCAGGGCAAGCAAGCTTTTTTTAAAAATTGTAACTTTGGAAAAGAACTGGTGAGGCCTTATCAAAAGATCATACTGTGATAGAGCTCATTTTATTAAACTGGGCCAATTGGGATCAATGGAAATGGCTGCAACGAAATTATTTTAGCTTTAGATACTCTGTTAAGCACACAGAAATAAAGCCAGAAACCTTGACTACTAAAGACTTAAAAAACAAAAATTGTTCCTTATAAATGGAAGCATACTCATTAATTTATTTTTTATTAGCACGACATTTTTGGTCAAGTTTATTTAACACTTTTTTTGTCTAGAGTTATTTTTACCTCAGTATATTGTTTTTATTCTGTTTCTAGCTAAGGCCAAATATCAAGTTTGAGACAAAGATTTTTTCCCATCCCAAACTTCAAAAAGCAAATAAAGCCTAAGTTGCCTTCCATTCCAGCCCATCCACTTACTGCACTTCCCAGAAACTCCCAGAAGACTGAATCTTCAGAGTGAAATCACTCTTCTGGATCCTGATTTTACTTCCTTCCCTAACATCTTGCCCAGCCCTCTGCGTAACCCTAGTCATGGAGTTTTACATTAACACATAGGCAAATTAGGGCAGTTTGTTTTGTGTATGAACTAGTATATTTACTTAAATGGTGAGTCACTACTTTTTTACCTTTGTTTTCTTATAATTAAAAATATCTAAATATTCTGAGACAAATTATTTCTATATTATTGTTGGGCATTTTAGAAAGTCTCCAGGAATATACATCAGAATCATTAAGGTAAGTTTTAAAAATATATATGTTTTGTCTCCACTTTACACCCAGTAAATCAGTATCTTTCTGGCAAATGCAAAAGATTAAATAACAAGGATATACTATGCAATGTTGAAAAGAACAAGGTTCATCTTGTCAGGTCATGGCTTTGACTTTACCCTACCTACAAACCAGGAAATTAGCCTGTTACTGTTTCACGGATGCTGGCAGAAGGCATGAAACTCCTGGGTCACAGACGGAAGACTGTATCATTCACAACTCGGCAAACAGCATGAGCATCATGTTTGTGATGGGTTCCCCTGCCCACAAACCCCATATGGGTCAGGCAGAGTGTCCCACATGGATTCCGGGACACAAAGTAGGTTATGTAATAGGAGAAGAAGACTGAGCTTGGAGATTGTTGTTTTATCCCAGACGGTAAGCAAACATACTCTTAGTCCCAGTAGGAGACGTTACCTCAACCCTCAAGGTTGCTTGTTACAAACACAACTCTGAGAAATGGACTAGGTAGAGAGAGGTTAGGGTCCTGACTATTTTAAACCAGGAAGATGTTGGAATTTGAAAGAACCATGGAAGAGATTCTCAACACATATGAACTAATATGGAAATGTGTCATGAGTTAAAGGTGAACATTATTTTTTAAAGGAAGATGTAGGAGCATATTATAGAATAATCTGTGTTTTGTGTTTTTGTTTTTTGCCAAGGGGGGCATGCATAGTCCTGTAAATGCAAAGAAACTTTTTGGAAGAGTACACAAAAAACTCCTTTGGTAGTGGGAATAGGGAATTTGAGTATCAGAGGGACTTTTATTCTACTTCATACCATTCCTTTTGCTTTATTATGAACATATATGTCTTTTTAAAAAAAATCATAAAAATTTACCTGTTTTTTGTCAGTAGATACTCTGGCCATTTCTTCATTATCTTCTAAGGGTCCATGCTTTCCCTCTTCCTTTTGCTAATTAAAAACAGATGAAGGGGAAACAGATTAGTACATAAGATATATGAGTAATTCAATATATCCTATTTAAAAGCTGGTTTCCTTGGCGCTGAACCATTCATTTTCTTTCTTGACGAAACTGCATTGACTTCCTGCTTTGTTCGGGTTCGTGTTCAGACTATAAACAAGGCCTTTATATTCTGGCCCCTGCATACGTTTCCAAAACATAAAAGGACTAGAAATTGTGGTCAGCAAATAAAACTCTGTAGTTTAAGATTTCAGAGTTGGGGCAATCTTGAGCTACGGAAAGTCCAGAGTATGGCCATGGCTAAGAAGGACTAAAGGGAAATAGTGGTAAATTAACTGGATTTGGGAAGAAACTGTGTAGCAAAAGCATTAGATGCGGATTGTGGTAGAAAGACCTTCCTATCCAACCCCTGGAGCCCATGGCTATGTTATGTTACCAGGGCAAGGTTGCAGATGGATTTAAGGCTGCTAATTAAGGCTGCTAATCATCTGACCTTGAGATAGGGAGATCATCCTGGATTATATGGGTGGGAGCAATGTAATCACAAGGTCCTTATAAGTGAGAAGGAGGCAGGAGGCAGTGTAAGTGATACGACTTAACACTCGGCCTGGCCATTACTGGCTTTGAAGATAGAGGAAGGGGTTGATCCAAGGCGTGTGGGCAGTCTCTAAAAACTGGAAAAGGCAAGGAAACAGATTCTCCCAGAGCTTCCAGAAGGAATGCAGCTTGCCAACATTTCGATTGTTAGCCCGGTGAGATCCATTTTGGACTTCTAATCTCCAGAACTTTAAGCTAATAAATATGTTCCTTTAAGCCATCAACTTTGTGGTAATTTGTTACGGCAGCAGCAGGACACTAATATAGAGATGTCCATAAGTCTCCTCTAAGAGTACAACTTGAAGCTGAAAGCTTTGAGCCAGGGACCAAACTCTATTTATTAATTCAACAACTATTTATTGAACCCTTGCTATGTGCCAGCCATAGACCTAGTAGCTTAGGACGCAGCCCTTACAGAGTTTCTAACTTACGAACACAGGTAAGTGACTAAGAAGAGAGTAGATAATTAACATAGGGTGATAACGCAGAATTCTGTGAGCCCCAAAGTATGGAAGATGTGTAAATAATTGGAGGAAGATTGAAAGTTGGAATAGTGAACTTGGTAAATGTTGACATCTTAGTCTTATAAAACAAATGCTGTATGTTAGAAAAGGAGTGACATCTAAGAAGTTTACACAAAAAGCCATGTCCTGGGAATGAGGTTTTCTGTTCAAACAGAATGAAAAATGGAAGTGATGATGTTGGTACTGAAATGTGGGGGTGTGGATGGTAGTAGTGGTGATGATGATTATATGAGTGATAACAGTAACAGCACCTAACATTTACTGACTGTTTACCATGTACCAAGCCCTATTGTCATCTCATTTATCCTAACAACTTTACGAAGTAGCTACTATTGTTCCCATTTTACAAATGAGGAAATTGTAACTAAGAGAGAATAAATAATTTCACCATGTCACACAGCTAATAAATGGGTAAGCTAGGATATAAACCCAAAATCCATTGTCTTTTTGTTGTTGCTAATATTCACTCGAGGATATTTTTTTCCATTTGTTTTTGCAATTTTTATTAATTTATTTTTGTTACAGATGTTTCTCCTTTTTCACCTATCGAAACCCTCCTCCCTATCCTACCCCCACTCCCACCCAGCATGGTTGTCTATGTCCATCGGCCATGCACACATGCACACAAGTTCTGTAGTTTATCCCCTCTCCCACCTCCTGTCGCCCTCCTCTGAGATTTTTCAGTCTGTACCTTATTTCTACGTCTCTGAGTCTGTTTTGTTCATCAGCTTGTATTGTTCATTATATTCCACAAATGAGTCAGATCATGTGATATTTGTCTTTCTCGGATTGGCTTACTTCACTTAGCATAATACTCTCCAGGTCCCTCGATGTCATCTCAAAGGATAAGAGATCTCTCTTTCTTACAGCTGCATAGTATTCCATTGTGTATATGTACCACGACATTTTTATCCACTCATCTATTGATGGACACTTGGGCTGTTTCCAGATCGTAGGAACTGCAAATAGTGCTGCTATGAATATTGGGGTACATATATTCTTTCTGACTGGTGTTTCAGGCTTCTTAGGGAATATTTCTATGAGTGGGATAACTGGGTCAAATGGCAGTTCAATTTTCAATTTTTAAGTAAACACCATAATATTTTCCATAGTGGCTGCAGCAGTCTGCATACCTACCAGCATTGTACTAGAGTCCCCTTTTCTCCACACCCTCGCCGGCATTTATTGTTTGATTTGTTGATGGCGGCCATTCTGGTAGGTGTGAGGTGATACCTCGTAGTCATTTTAATTTGCATCTCTCTGATGATTAGTGACACTGAACATTTTCGCATATGTCTCTTGGCCATCTGTATGCCCTGTTTGGAGAGGTGTTTATTTAGGTCCTCTGTCCATTTTTTAATTGGGTTCTTTTTCTTCCTTTGTTGAGTTGTATGAGTACTCTATATATTTTGCAAATTAGCCCCTTATCTGATATATCGTTGGCAATTATGGTCTCCCATATAGTGGGTTCCCTTTCCATTTAGATGCTTGTTTCTTTTGCTGTGCAGAAGCTTTTTAGTTTGATGTAGTCCCATGTGTTCATTTTTTCCTTTGTTTCTCTTGCCTTAGACATTATATCAGTGAAAATTCTGCTGCATGTGATGTTTAATATTTTGTTGCCTACATTTTCTTCTAGGATCTTTATGGATTCACAAGTCACATTTAAGTCTTTTATCCATTTCGAGTTTATTCTTGTGTATGTGTAAGTTGATGGTCTAGCTTCAGTCTTTTGCATGTAGCTGTCCAATTTTCCCACCACCATTTATTAAAGAGGCTGTCTTTACTCCACTGTATGCTCTTGCCACCTTTGCCAAATATTAATTGAGCATAATGTCTTGGGTCCATTTCTGGGTTCTGGGTTCTGTTTCTTTGATCGACATGCCTGTTCTTGTATCAGTACAAGGCTCTTTTGATTATGATAGCTTTGTAGAATAACCTGACATCCAGTATTGTGATTCCCTCCTACTTTGTCCTTTAAGATTGTTGGGCCTATTCTGAGTCTTTTTTGGTTCCATATAAACTTTTAGAGTATTTGGTCTAGTTCCATGAACTTTGTCATTGGCATTTTTTTTTTTATCCTCACCCGAGGACATTTTTCCACTTTTTGTACAGACAGAGTGGGAGGGAGAGAAAGGAAGAGAGAAAGAGGGAAACATCGATGCAAAAGGGACACATCGAGTGGCTGCCACCCGCATGACAAACCAGGGCCAGGGACAAACTGCCACTGAGGCACACGCCCTTAGCGGGAACCGAACCCGGTTCTCTCCGGACCACAGGCGGATGCTCTAACCGCTGAGCCAACCGGCCAGGGCGTCATTGGCATTTTAATGGGGGTTACATCGAATCTATAGATTGCTTTGGATAGTATGGACATTTTAATGATGTTAATTCCTCCAATCCATGAACAAGGTATATGCTTCCACTTTTTTATATCTTCTTCTATTTCTTTTTTCAGTATCATGTAGTTTTCTGAGAACAACTTCTGTGGTTAAGTTTATTCCTAGGTATCTTAGTTTTTTTGCTGCAGTGGTAAATGGGGGGCTGGTTCTATTTCTGTGAGTTCATTATTGTTGTGTAAGAATGCTGTCAATTTCTTTCTTTATTTTTTTTCTATTCTCACCCGAGGACATTTTTCCATTTTTTATTCAGATAGAGTGGGAAGGAGAGAGAGGAAGAGAGAGAGAGAAAGAAAAACATCGACGTGAAAGGGACACACTGAGAGGCTGCCTCCCACCTGAACCAACCAGGGCTGGGGACAAACTTCAACTGAGGTATGTTCCCTTAATGGGAACCAAACCTGGGTCTCTCTGGACTACAAGCCAGTGCTCTAACTGCTGAGCCAAACCAGCCAGGGCGATTTCTTGATGTTAATTTTACGTCCTGCTACTTTGCCACATTCATTTATTAGCTCTACTAGATTTTTGATGGAATCTTTATGGTTTTCTATGTACAATATCATGTCATCTGCAAATAATGATGGTTTTACTTCCTCCTTTCCAATTTGCATCCATTTATTTTTCCTTCTTGTCTATTTCCTGTGGCTAAGACTTTCAGTACTATGTTAAATAAGAGTGGCAAAAGTGGGCATCCCTGCCTTGTTCCTGTTCTTAAGAGAAATGCTTTTAGCTTTTGCCCATTGAGTATGATATTGGCTGTAGGTTTTTCATATATGGCCTTTATTATGTCAAAATGTGATCCCTCTGTTCCCACATTGCTGAGCATTTTTATCAGAAATGGGTGCTGGGTTTTGTTGAATGCTTTTTCAGCATCTATTGATAGGATCATATGGTTTTTATCTTTCATTTTGTTTTTGTGGTGTATCATAGTTTTTGATTTGCGAGTATTGTACCAGCCTTGCATCCCTGGGATGAATCCCACTTGGTCACAGTGAATAACTTTTTTGATGTATTGCTGGATGCGATTTGCTAAAATTTTGTGTAGGATTTTGGCATCTATGTTCATCAGGGATATTGTCCTGTAGTTTTCTTTTTTTTTTTAGTGTCTTTGTCTGGTTTTGGAATTAGAATTATGCTGGCCTCATAAAACCAGTTTGGAAGACTTCCTTCTTCTTGAATTTTTTGAAATAGTTGGAAGAGAATGGGTGTTAATTCTTCTTTGAATGTACAATAAACGTCCCTGTGAAGCCTCACTGGCCTGGGCTTTTGTTTGACAGGAGTTTCTTGATTACATCTTCAATTTCCTTAGTTGTTATTGGTCTGTTCAAGTTTATATCTTTTCCCAGTTCAGTTTTGAGAGACTGTGTGGTTATAGAAATTTGTCCTTTTCACCTAGATTGTCCAATTTGTTCGCATATAATTCTTCATCGTATTTTTAAATGATCCTTTCTATTTCTGTTATGTCAGTTGTTA